AGGGGAGAGAAGGGAAGAGAAGGAGGAGAGGAAGGAGGGGAGGAAGAGCAGTTCTCACAGAAGATAAGGGGATAGGAGTCCCACTGACCCAGGGCTGAATGATAGCCCTGACACTTTCTCTGGCACAGGAAGTCACCTCCATGTCCTTAGCTGTGGTTAATTCTACAAGGAGAGTGCAAGCATTTTGCTAAAGTGACCTGCTCTGGAATCTTGATTTACTCACCCAGCCTCCTTGGCAGAGGAGCTGACATGCAGCAAGGACCAGCTCTGCACCTGCCCCATCTTCTCCTGGACGCCCACACCTGCAGCAGAGTAGTGTTTCTTTGGGGACTGATTGCCTCACTAGACTATGCTCTGTCAAGCCAGAGAAGTTCAGCCATGGCTCAGGCCCCCAGTTAAGTAAGCAACCAGCTAAGGACAGATGCTGGCATCAGCAAGAGTACCAGCTACCAGTGTGGAGTGTCCACCATCGTGGACTGTGCCTTCTGCTCTGCGCATCGCTAACCCCACTTCTAGATTGGCAGTCAGCGTTTCCTGAGTGTCTCTGGGCTGTGAATATGCAGTGCATTATGCTGGGTGACAAGACTGACCCCAGCCCACCACCCAGCCACCAAGCAGGAGACATCAGATTTGACCCACGCTGAAGCCTCACTTCCTGTGGCCCCATTCTGGGCAGCCTGGCCTCCAGTGCTACCCCAAGGTCACCCTCAGTTCCTGGCTCCGTGAGTTTGATCACGACAGTCCTGGCAGTGACCACGCTCTGGCTCCTCTGGATCTTGCCAGGGTACCCCAGGTCCATGCTGTGGTGACCTAGCTCCTCTCTCCCTTCTTCTTAGTCTTTAAGCCACAAAAAGTAGCCCTGTCAGTTCTCCCAGCCCACAACAATTTCACCCAGGCCTGCCTTTGCCCTGGCTTTCTGTCTGTCTACATATCTCTCCCTGTCCTGACCCAACAGAACACACACTTCAAATCCAGTTTAGGCTGTCACCTTGTCCAAGGGCTCATCCTGAAATTCTCCATGAAAGATGCATCTCTGTCTTCCTGGAAATGTTCCTCCTGTGGCCACCTTGCCTTCTGCCTTGACTGCCATCTCCACACACTTCACTAACATATCTGCCCACCCCACCAGCCCTGAGCTTCATGCCTGCAGCCAGATTCCCCTTCAAGTCCCCAGTCCTCCTCTGCACTCTGCAAAATGTTTACTGTGTGTAAACTCAGCTTTCTTTCTCCTCTGATTCACATTCCGAAGACCTAGGTGGTGGCTGGAACATTTCTGACTTCCAGTCTGACACACCTGGGAGATTTTTCATCCCCTCTCCAATTGTGAATCCCATATCTTGTCTAATGAATGAAAATTCAGTTCCATGCAAATGTTTCTTGTGGGATCATCCCTAGCGGGCAGCCTGTGGGGACTTCACTCATCAGCTGGTGCCCTGAATCTGCGTTTGGAACATTCTGGGAGCATGTTGCTAGGCCTGTGACCTGGACAGATCAGGTGAGTGAAAGGGGCAAACTCGTCACTTGGCACTGGGAATTTACATGCTCAGGGCCTGCAGGATTGGACTTCAGTGAGAGAGAATCCCTTTCTCCCATCCTCCACACCAGACTCACTGCCTGTAGTGCTACACGGCAGCCTCTGGAACACAACCTTGGTAACGCCAGGGTGCCCACACAGCCACGGAGATCTCTGCACACTTGTTCATTAACTCAGGCCCAAGGCTCTTGAGAATCTTCTGCACAGCTTGGACCACTAATATCTCTCTTGTCAGAGAAACACAGCTTTTTGCTTCCAGAGCTGGGTCACGAAGGCAACAGCCTGGACTTTCATTTCAAATGAATGTGGATTTAAGATCTGGCTCCTCTACTCCCAGCTGTGTGACCCTAGGAAGGCAAATGAACCTCTCTGGATCTCAGGTTCCTCTTGTGGAAAGTGGGAGGGATATACAGGGATGAAACACAGCAGCAGGTGTGTAGTAGGGCCACAATACAGGGGGATTTTCTTCTTCCTCTTGAAACTAGGGAGCTGCCTCATGCTCAGTGGGAAGCCAGGGGGAGGCCAAGTGGAGCCTCTGCCAGGTAAATCTGCAGAGTGTGGGGACAAAGGCAGGTGGGCCTGGTGGGAAATGGCCCTGAACTTCTCCTGTGGCCCAGGATTGAATTCCTAGAGCTCGGTTTGCTTTCTGGAAACAGCCTGAAGGCAGTCACAGCTACTTTGCAGGACTGTGGAGGGGCTGCCGATGGGGGCTCCTGCCTGCTATCTGTGTCCTCAGTGTGCACTGTGGGTATTACGTGCTCTCAGTGTCTAGGGTGGTGCTCCCATGTCCCTGCTGGTGCTCCCCTCTCCTATATTCCCAGTGTCCCACTCATCCTCTGCTGTGACCCCTCAGTACTTGGACCATGGCCATGAGCACATGCAGTGTCCATTGCTCCCCGACTCTTGAACACTCAGCTCTTTTGAGGCCCCATGGAGATCTTGTGTTTGAACTCATCACCCCAGGAGCCCCATCACCCCACAGTCCTGTGGCTGTTGCCATGTTCCCCGCACAGCGAACCCCGGCCTATAATCCACTCAGCTGTACAATGCAGACACCTGAGCATCCAGCTTTACCCCTCCTCACTGCCTGAGTCTTGCTCATCTTGTTTTCTCTTGAGGCTAAAGGCAGTGACCACCTTGGTCAGATTGCAGCAGCTCCAGGTCCTTCCAGAAGGGACTTTGGAAAGGTGGCCAGCACGGGATGCCTGCAGCAGTGAGTATCCAGTGCCCCCAGGGACACCTTTTCAGAGGACCGACTCAGGAATGTGCACAGCTTCCGGCACTGCTGCTAAGGGTGGCCCCTGTCACTGAGGCCAGTTCCATGCTCAGCATGCACCAACCTGGATCTGACTCACCAACTATGTCCACTTGAAGTCACCCTGCTCTCCAAGCCTCTGCTCCCTCGCCTATAAAACAGGAATGACTGCATCCGCCTATTCCCAGGCATCCCATGAAGTTACGGATGGGAAGTATTTAGCTCTGGGCCTGATACACAGTGAATACTCAAAATCAAGTTTTTACCATTACTTCCTGACCTACTTCACTTATTTAAGTAGACTCTGAATTTTGACAAATCTGCTCATACAAACTGATAGAGCAAACAGGCAGCTACACCCAAAGCTCTTGAGGGTATTGACTTTAAAGCTAAGTTGTTCTTATATCCCCAGAATACAGGTGAGTGGGAAAGATACAACAGTGATAAGACCTGCACGGTGGTGACTTCTGTACAGAAAGAAGCAGAGCAGCAATAAAGCACAGTTAGGGACTGGAGAGCCACCATCTCCAAAACAGCCATCAGGTGTTCAGGATCTGTTGGCCTGGCAGGAGCTGTCCTGGTCCCAAGGGGGAATGACAGGGTCTGGTTGAGTTCTGAAAGGGTAAAGCAATTCTAGTCCACACAGCCAAAGTCCTTTCTAGGAAGGAGCCCTAGGGAAGATCTGTGGATGGGACAACAGTGGGGCAAGACAGGGACTCTACACAGAGAGGAAAGGAGGTGCCAGGAGAAAAATGGGAAAGACAGAGCCAGGAACTCTCAGATGGCTTTAGGTCTTAATACTCCAACAACAACAACAACAACAACAACAACAACAAAAACAAAAATCAACAACAGGGTGATGAATTATATTTATACCTAGGAAATCTCTCTGGATCCACATCATTTTCTAAAAGTCCAAGAGAACTTAAAAAATAAATGACTGAAAAGTATCAGAGTAAAATTTTGTATAAAATTATGATAAGAAAAAGGAGAATAAAGAGCAAAGTAATACTGTCACAATGAAAGCACAGTAGAAAATTATGCCAACAAAACAGATAAAAGTTTGCGAAATTTTTCAAATGAGGTCAAAAGCACTGCGGTTGGTCGTATCGTGCATGATCCCCAATGGATCATGCCTTTTGGTAGTCATGGCCCTGGGGTCCCTCTCACAAGGTTGGCCATGTGATTAGTTGTGACCAATTGAAGCTCGGGAATGGGAAACAAGCAGTCTTGGGCTGCATGTGGGACTTGGGTGCGCCATCTTGAAAGTGGTCCACCAGTCGAAGAGGCTCATGGGAGTCCTTTGGTGATGGCAGATGACATGAAGAGAGGCCTGCTCATCTCTGCTGACCCCACCCCTCCAGATAAATGCATGTGCCTGAGTGAGCCCAGCCAGATATAGCTAAGCCCCCACCAACCAACACAGCTGGAGGAACAATAGTTATTGCTCCAAGCCTAAGTTTTGACAGAATCTGACACAGAATTGATAGCAAATATAAACATTCAGAATTAACAATGAGTAAAGACATGAAGAATTAAACAAAACATGAAAAGCAACCTAAATTACAGTAAAATACCTCAGAAATCAGGCAAAGGAATCCCAGAAAATAAATGGAAATGAAAACAAATTGTATCAGAAGTAAAAATTTTACCAGAAAGCATGCAAACCAAATGAGCACTAAATAAAACCTTCAGACAAAGACAACAATGGGAAAAATTTTAAAAATCAAAGAAAGAAGTAAAAATAGTAGAGAGAAAATGATGCATGTGGAAGATTGGCAAAGAAAACAAACATTCAAATAACAGGTGACATTAAAGATAAAGCACGGGAACAGAATACATAGGAAAATGATGCTTCTGAAAAAAGGCCCAACAACAAAACCAGTAAGAAATTGTGCACCAAAAGAGCACCCATGTGCCTAGGAATAGACACCCAAAATGACCAACACCAAGTTATATGCGTATAATACTAGTAGATTTTAATGGGAAAGAAAAAGATTGTTTTATTCCCACCTGTGCAAGCCTAAGCCAAGGTTTTATGGAAAACCCAGGAGAGGAGGGTCTCCCAGCAGAGCAGACAGTGAGGGAAAGGCAGAAAGCTGGAGAGAGACCAGCATACCTGGGGACAGGTGGAGCTGGTGTAGGATGAGGATGACCAGGAAGCTGGAGGGGAAGCAAACCTGGACAGTTGGGTGTGGAACCTGGACTCACCCATGTAAGGCTTGGTCCCAGCCATGGAGGAGGCCTTTTCTGCTCCTCTGACGACGGTCGCTATGTTGAAGTCCGTGATGTGAACGTGTCCTGCAATGACATACAGAACCTCGGTGAGTGAGAGCTGCAGGTGCTGCACCCTTCCTTGTGTGATCAAAAGCTGTGGTCTGCCAGGTGAAGTGTAGGGAGAAAGTATCAGAATGGGGAGGATAAGGACACACTGTAATATTCTTAATTGACAGAAATGGCCAGAAATGTTTTGAAGTGAGTATTTTAAAGAGGGTGCATGACAAAGTATCCTTTACTATAATACAGTTTTAAAAATTTATTCACCATAGTTTTGGATCACATCTTGTAGATGGATGACATACACAAAATTGGCTTTGTGAGGACCGGGAGGGTGCCTCCAAGACACAGGAGGACACTGCAGCAGGTACGATAGGGCAAGGCTGTGAGAGGCAGGTGCCCGGTGTGATTGGCCAGGGTGCATGGCAAGAACTGCAGGTGTCACATGCACACCCTGCATCAAGGGCTCAGCTGCCTGCATGAAGTGTGTGCCACCTGCTGTGCCAGGACCCGTCCAGGGCCCCAGGTGACACTTGGAGTGATGATCTGTAATATTCTTCAGGTGCTGTTGCAAAGCTGGTATTTGCTCGGACGCATAAGTCTTTGCCTGGAACATATTATCCTGCCAAGGCACAGCTCAGAACCACGTTTCCTAGCCAGGCCCAACCCACCCCGCACCCCCCATCTCCTCTTTTCCATACTAAGACAGAGGAGTTCACGTCCTTGCTGTAGTCTGGGCCACACACAGGGCACGCACCACCACTGCGAGAGGATTCTGGGGCCTTTGAACTCAGCTTTCACTTGATTTTCTTTCATTTCTTCCTCTCTTTAAAACGTTTGACATCCACATTATGGAGAGAATGCCAGCTCGTTGCTATAAGTCAGAGAGCACAGAGCTCGATTTCGCGTCCTTGTTAACCCCTGCCCTTGTGTAGCTCCTCTACCCCATGTAATCACCAATTTATGTTGCTTCCCCAGCATTTCCCTGTGCTTACAAAAACACACATCCACATGTCTTGGAACTTGGGTTTGTTTTTAAATAACGAGACTGTATCCAGGAGTCATTCTTGAAGTTATAGTTGCACTCAGCTATGTTCAAGGACATCTTTGCAAGTTAGCATGCACAGGACTGTCTGTGAAACCCACAGCCCACCATGTTGCATCTTAGCCCATTCTCTGTGGCTCTGACAAATACCTGGGGCTGCACACATATACAGAAAAGAGGTTTATTTAGCTTAGAGTTTGGGAGGCTTAATCCAAGACTGGGTGACCTCATCTCTTCCAAGCCTGGGGCGAGGCCCTGGCTGTGTCACGGCAGGGCAATGGGTTCCTGGCAGAAGCACATGCTGGAGGGGGGCCATGTGGTGAGCAGGAAGCCAGAGGGGCAGCGTAGCTGTTGAGTCACAGTCGGCTCTTGTGGGAGCTAAGGCACTGTGTGAGAACAGGATGAACCTCTTTGGAGGGGAACACCCCCAGAGCCCTCGCCATGCTCTGATGGACCCCACAGTTAACAGGTTCCAACACCTCTAATGCTGCCACTGCACTCCCTGTTCATGAAGTCTCGGAGCATGAACCACACCCAAACCCTACTGTCTTCATTTATTCTAAATCCATTTCCCCTACAACTTATGAGGGGATAAAATGTGAGCCGAAGTTTTGCTTTTTCATGGACTTTCATGTTTCTTGCTGTAGAAATCATAATGCTTTTTAAATGAACACAGTACACCTCCCAGTCCCCTATGGGGGTGTTACTCAATACAGAGTATGTATTATTTTAAGATATTAGTACACATTGTTAGACACATATTGTTTTTCATCATCATTTTGATATACCATAGTACGCTGGTTTACAAACTCAATTCTGTCCATGACTCTGGTCACAAATCAAACTGGAAAAGAACCGAATCCAATTTCCCCAAAACATCAACATTGAACCAAACCACTGACTTTGATTCCATTCTTGTCCAACTCAGTTTGCTACCAGAATAGTGGGAAGATTTAAATGCATGAACTGAGGTACCAATGTATTTTATTTCACATACATGACTTTAAATCTGAAAAATTCAGAATTGGGAAAACTTACCTGCCCCCAGGAGTTTCATGTAAGAAATTGTGGACTTGCAGCTTTAAAGTGTTCCATTGTGTGGCTATACCTTATCTTATGCAACACTTTGCTGCTGTGGGTAGTCAGCCTGTTTCTAGCATTTTTGCTGAATCGTTTATTTTGTTATTAAATATGCAGAAACAAGTAATCTTAGATGTGGGCCAGGGATTTATCTCAGTGGTTCCATTGGTTCCACTGCCTGCCTCACAAGCACAAGGACCCGAATTTGATCCCCAGAACCAACCAACCAACAGACAAACAAGAAAAGCAATCTTAGATGTATCTTTCAATATTGGTTCTTTCACTCCAACTGAAAAAAATTCCCAGAAGTGGGGTTCAAAAGTACACAGCTTGTGTTCCAAAAAGTTGTGATTCATGGTGCTATAAACAGAATATAAGTGCATTTCTCCAAATTCTTCCTAGCACTAGTCATTGTTAGTGATCTTAGGTGGCACAACTCAGGTGGTGGGAAACAGTGTTTCCATGCCGATGATCCCGCTGCTTTTGGTGTGATTAGCTTCTGCCATGGAGTCCCCGTTTAGGACCTTGGCCAATTTTACATCTGAGCCCCTTATCTACAAGATGCACTTACATTTTCTGGTGTGTTTGCTGCTGAAGTTTCTCTAAGCCTGTTGCTTTTCTTTTGACTTTGTCTAGAGCATCTTTTGTGACATAGTTCAGAAACAAACAATATCGTTTGCATTCGTTTATAGTTTCTAAGTGCTGTTTTTCTTGTAACTTTCCAGTTTGTAGAGGACTCTAAGATTTTACAAAGTCAGAGATTATATTTTCTTATAATACTCATATAATTTACCTCTCATATTTAAATTTTGTGACATTTTGTCGATGGTGTGAGACAGCATTCTGATTTTTATTTCTCCAAAATGGACGGCCACTTGTGCCAACAACATTTATGGAAACTTCATCCATTCCCAGGGACTTGCCATGTGACCATTCTATACCCAGTCCCACATCCGCGTGGGTCTTCTTATGGATTCTCTCTTGTGTTCCACTGTCGTGTTTATCTAGTGCCACATTGGTTTAACCCCAATAATTATGTGGCTCTTGCACTATTAGTGTTGGTCCCCCCCTTTCTTTCCAATATATTTTGGTAGTTCTCAGGTATTTACTCTTCTGAATGAACCTGAGACAAATTCCATCTGGTCTTGGAGACCATTAGAGTTTGGAGAGATGCTGCTGTAACTTACAAGGGTACACATTCTCTGTTCCATCCAGGGTCAGCCTCGTGAGTATCCACCCAGGTGACTTGAGCTCCTCTTGGTGGGATGGAAATGTGCCAGCAAATGCGGAAATAAAAGCTGAATGCTAGGACATTTGCTTCCTTTACACATCTGACTCATCACGCACATCTGGCATTGTGCGAGACCCATTAGCACAGTTCTAGGAAAGTATCCATAGCTGATGATCCACATTCCACGTCCCGTCCTCTGACATGCTTCTCTTTTGCATGGAGACTCACCTCCCCTCTAAGCCTCTGTCTGATCCTACTTAGAATACACATCCCTCTCTGCCTGATCACCTCCATTCACCCTTTAAAATCTGGCCCAAGAGTTACACTACTGACAGATGTACAGCTAGCCCGGGCTCACGTACTTCTGCCCACAGGAAACTCACTACTGCTACACAGGGTGGTTTATCTGACTGTGGCTTAGTCTACTGAGCTTCGATGATTAAATGCTGTGGGCTGGGCAGCTATCAGAAGACACTTCTTCCTCTGAGCTCCGGAGGGGGTCAGTGGGTGCATAGCTGGGTGCTGGAGAGGCTTCTCACTGTGGTATCTGTGTTCGTGTCCCTCCAGAACCATTCTGAAGTTTAATCACCACTCAACAGTGCTTGAGGTGGAGTCTTCTGTCACAAAGCTTCTGCACTATGAGTGGATTTGAAGCCTTTAAAAAGAGACTCCCCGTATCACCCTTTGCCTTCCTCCTCCTGCTGGACGCGGACACAGTGCCAAGCTGCTGCCAGGGACCCAGACACAGTGCTCATCAGACACAATCTACCAGCGCCATGATCCAGGACTTTCAACTCCAGAACCAAGACAGACCTCTGTTCTTTGTAAACTGCCCAAGCTAGGGTATTTTGTTATAGCAGAAGGGACTGACTAAAACAGGTTCTGCTCTTCTGCTGACTCAGAGTGGGGCTATGGAATGACTGACTAACCACCCAAATAAAAAACTGAACTCAAAAAGCCTCACAATAAAACCTGTTGCCTTCCTTCGTGCTTTATGCATGCAGAGAAGTCACGGTGCTTACAGGAGTGGACTGCACTCTGGGTTAAGACCATAGCAATGTCACTCTTTCAGATGGCTGGAGCCAGGCTCCCTTTCCATGATTTTATAATTTTCCAGGCCAGAGCCAGGTTTGGCTGACCACAGGGAGCTTAAACTTGGGCTCTTTTCTAAGTATAAAAACCATGATACCACGTAGCTGACAGAGCTGCATTCTTTTTTCATCTGTGCAGCAATTCTTTGCTGAGCACCTACGATCTGTTGGAAGGGAGGCAGGGTTGAACCTGTAGATGCTGAACCTGGTCAGTTATGGATGTCAGAGATTGGAGGAGGAGGAGGACAGAAGATGAGGTCCCAGGCTTTTTCTCCTTGGGGCTGCAACCAGTTCAGATACCCCAGATAATTGCAGACCTGGGAGGGAGCCCCTGGAGCTACCAGGAATCATATTCAGGTCACTCCTCAATCCACCAGCAGCACAGGCCAGGAGCTGGAGCAGACCATGGGCAGCAGTCTGCTTCCACAGCATCACCTTGGCATAACACTTGAACTTGGAGGAAGTCTTGCATGAATGTCTGATGTGACTCAGCTGCACCACAAGGTCCACATCATGCCTGAGCCCGAGGTGAGGATGGTACTGGAGAAATGAAGGAACTGGAAGCCTGAGGGAGGGG